ACACACACACACACACACACACACACACACACACACACACACACACACACACATACATTTCCTTGACTGGGAACACTGCATCACATTATGATGTTCATTTAATAGATGTTCATCGTACTTGTGTGTGGCTTTTTATTGACCATTCAGTTGTAATGATTTTTACACCTTCTTTTTATGGTACGGATTTTATATGGAACACCAAAAAGAATGTTTATGTAATTTACTTACATAGAGGGTAATCAAAATGTGTGCGACGGTCTTCAATGTTATAAGCTCTGAATTGAGCAGTTTTCTCTTTGGAGTTTAGTTTGTGTGACTTAATGCAACCTTCAGTTTCTCTCTGCTCTGACCAGAGGTAAGGGGAGGTCGACAGGCACCACTTGACTAAATCTGTCTCACACTACCCACTCTATTGATCCCATGTTACAACTGCGAGAGCTTGATATTGATTTATTTTTGGTTGTTGGTGTACATTTGCTTTCTGATTGGAGCAAAGTGACCTTTTGGAGTCTGGTTCAAGATTCTAATTTTGCAAACGTCAGGGCCGTCTGTGATTCTGCATTTCTAGATTTGCACCTTCATGGTCAGAATTAATGCTGCGAAATTATAACAGAATGAGTTGCATTGGGATTAGATAGAAAGGGATAGACAGATGTTTCCTTCACTGGCATGCATTCAATAGATTAAAAAGATCCCACTAGAGATTAATTTATCTTTTTAAAGTATAAAAGAATGAGAAAACATAATCATAATGATGCTGTTGATGTCTTCAAGATGACCAAATGTGCCTTTTTGTAGTTCCTCTGTGCCCATGCCTGTTTTAAATAGATTATAACGGTGCACTGAAAACATTGGAATTAATCTTGTACCTTGTATTGGATTTACAATTCTTGGGACTCTTGGGATGTTTGTTATTGTCTTTATTGATCAGATAAAAAAGTGGATATAAATTTCACAAAAAAAAAACCACCTAAGTATAAAGTTAGGTAAAATTATGACTCACTGTGGCATCTTGCTTGTACAGAAAACAAATGCCAGAGATAAGTGCCCTAACCTGCTTAACCTGATATTTGTGCATCACAGTGTGCCTTAGTGAGATTCAAGAAATCTGTAATGAATGTGATAATGGATAGATTATCTTCTGTTCATGTTGAAAAGCACAATACATCAGAACATAGCAAAGACACAAACATATACATATAATAATGAATTTCTATTATGTTTATTTTGGTTATTTGTGGTGTATGTAGACTGTTATGTGTATGGTGGATGCTTGGTGATCCCTTTATTGGTGAGAGGGTGTACAGTTGTTGAAATGTATCCAACCTTTTATGCTTGTTCTATTGTTCCTCTCTGACCATCACTTGAAATTGCTGTTTATTGTTCACTTAATGTTTTGCCAAATGGGAAAATAAAAGACATTAAATATTTGTCTGGTCATTGGTTTTATAAATAATAACTTGTAACACTTAATCCAGGTTCCCAAGAGTAGTATTTGGTTGTAATTCAGACTGTGTTGAATGTGAATGCTTTAAATTAATTCCAATCGCTACCTTGAGTCACACAGTTGTGACACAGCAAGTTAATGAGAATCAAAAAATCATGCTCAGCAGTCATCAGAAATGTTTTTTATAGTCATCAATTGCAAATGTAATAATCTTTATTTATAAAGCATTCTTCTTATCAAAAGTACCATGTGCCTGTAAAATAAAATGGGAATTGAAACAGCAATTAAAACAGAAGTAAGAATAACAATAAAAGACTTAAAACAATCAACTATTTCAAAATAAGTTTGAGAACATTGTGTCTGTCCTGGCTATAATTACCGGCAAATAAAATTATTATTAATTATGGAACATTTAAAGGTACAGTGTGTAGAATTTTGTGATATCTAGTGTTGAAATTGCCCTCGATGTAAATATAAAGTATATAAATATAAAGGGCCTTTTCTGGGGTACAGAAAACTACAATTCATGCAATTTAGATGAAATGAACTAGTGAAAACATCATGAGGATTATTCTAAATTTCTGCCAATAGTTCCCTTTCACCTAAATCTTACACACTGGACCTTTAAATGAAACGACCAAACATCTTAGACGAAACATTTCCTCGATGATCAGTTTGATAGAACATCCAGACTGATCAGCACCGACTGCTCTGTGAAAAATAAAAATATTATCACCAGTGAAAATCTCTTCGAGCAGCTGAGCTCCGGAACAAAAGAGAAGCTGACGGAAACTCGGAGGTATTTCCGGGTACAAGTCACGTGACTGACGCGCCTGCTTTCATTGGCCCACCTCTGCTCCTTGTTTATTTCCGGAAGTAAGTAAACAGTGTCCCACTTCCCATCAGCACTATCAAACATCTCCAACGACGCAACTACAGGTACGAGTTGAAACCGCGTTCAAACACAGCCCTCCTATCTAGCTGTGACATTAATGAGTCAGTTGTCTCGTGGCTTCAGTGAATCGTGTTTACATTTGTGGACGTAGCCACTGTTAGCCGCTAGCTCTCCGTAGCGTAGCTTACGTAATGTACTTTGTCTTCGAAAGAGAAAAATACATATGACTCAAAACAACGTTCGTGTCGGTCTGAAGTCATGTCTGAGGCCTTGTGTCAATATTTCGCTAACTTTGTCCTGTTAGTGAGTCAACACGGCCGCTGGCGAGGAGGTGAAGCCACCGTGTCGATAAGCTGATGTTAGCCATGATGATACATTAGCTAGCTGGTTAATGATGCCCATTCTATAAATGCCTAACCAACGTGTACTGGCTCTTCAGAAGAACGCCCATTCTACTTCACCATGACTGTGTGAACTCCAGAAATAGAAGCTGTTCATTAAGTGCCTGTCATGCTGTATGCTTCACCCTCTCTAGGTGTGTCCTCTTCCACAGGATGGCACATTGGTTTCACAGAAACCCACTGAAGGCAACAGCGCCTGTGTCCTTTAATTTTTACGGTGTGGCAGGGAGCCCCTCTGCCAATAAGATATGCAAGTATGTCTTATATCCACTCAATGCACTGTGAAGACTGTTGAATATGAAATGGATCCTATACAGATATACTTTTTGTGTGTGGTCTCTTACCTGTCCTCATGCTGATCTAATGAGCATCAGTGTGATGCTGCGGTCGCAGTCCTGGGATCAATAGCATTTCTTTGACTAATTAGATATAAAAGCCTTGTTGGATACAATCACTCTGAATGCTGTAATCATTATGATAGATCAGAACATCAGTTGATGGCTGTTGTTTTGTGATACATCCAGTGACCTGAGGACAACCAGGGCCAGGCTGCTGGAGATGTTCACTGATGTCACCTGCAACCCTGAGATCATGAAAAATGCCACAGATGCTTACTTCTCCCTCTTACAAGGTTTGTTTACACTCCAGCAAATTAATTTCCTCTCCTCCACTGGGTTTAAATAACACCAGTGTTTCCCTTAGGAGTTTTGTCAGCAGCGGTGCTGTTCTGTGCCAGTCTGTGAGCGTGTAATGTTGGACTGTCATCTATGTGCAATGGTAGAGGAAGAACAACAATAGATTCAGTATAGATCAGATTTTTCATGGTGACTTTGTTAGTGTGTTGATTTACTGGGGGCAGTTGACACTTAAAAGGTTCCACAGGCCCAGATTATAGCCAGTAGTAATTCAGTTCAATTCAATTTTATTTGAATAGTGCCAAATCATAATATACATTATCTCAAGGCACTTTGCATAGAAGGTCAAGACCTTAAAATTGTATTATATATAATAACAAATATAGAGAAACCCAACAGTTTCCACAATGAGCAAGCACTTTGGCGACTGTGGAGGAAACTTCTAGCAGAACCAGGCTCAATGTGGGCGGTCATCTGATGACCGGTTGGGGTGAGCAGTGAAAAATGGGGAGGAGAGGAGAGATGGGTGGAAAAGAGGGGAGAGAAGAGAGAGAGATAGTGGGGAGGGGGTAGAGGGGGAGAGAGAGAGGCGAGAGAGACAGGGATCACTTGTGCACCATCAGGTATCAGCTCTGACTAGTTAAAATGTAAACAATAACAGTGTAATGAATGTTGAATAATTAAATATTGCTGAGAGGAAACAGGAGGAATGGAGAGGACATGACTCCTTTCTTATCTCTTTACAAACTAATATTATACAGTATTATAGTGCTTCAGGGAAGTAACATATCCAGGTTAATTCACACACATATAAATAAAAAGAAAATTCAACACTTCCCCTCAAAATGAAAGATTATAACACGCATGGAGTAGATGTCAACAGATGGTATCAATTTCACATACGCAATTGTTTTCCTCTTCATTGAGGCAGATCTCATTGTGTGTAAGGGCCACTGTGGCACGCAAAAGCTTTCGATCTCACACAACAGGCAGATCCCTTTACAGAGACATGAACATGTTGTTGTTGTTGTTGTAACTACATGTTTGGGTATAATTAAAATATTGTTAATTTAAGTTATTCTATCATTAAAAATTATATAGACAACACTGGATTTTAAATTGTCATAGGATGTTTTTCCAACTTCTACAGAATCCTAATATTACTTAAATATACCAGCAATTGATTCTTCCCATTCCTCACACTTAATGAGCATGGTCTTGCATCTTGTTGACTAAAAGCAGTGTTTGGAAAAAAGTGATTGCATTTTAAACATTTATGAGACCGCTACACTTCATGTATTTGAACGGCTTAAATACATTAAAATATTTCTCTTTGTCTTCTGTCATTTTTTTTATGTCGCTTTGCACCTAACCAGCTGCTTCTCTGTTTTTAAACGTCGGTTTAACACACAATAGGCTTCATCTCATCCTTGGATGGAACTACGCAGGAGAACAAGATGAGGTTCATCCAGAACTTCAAGTGGACTGACACCTTACAAGGAAACATACCAAGGTAGAACGATAAGAGAAACTCATACAACCAGTCTTGTAGTAGGTGAAGGGACTCAACACAGACATTTGTTTTTCATATTTGAACGATGGCGTGATGTACATTCCAAGAGCTAGTTAACATTGTTCTAAAAAGAGTGTTAATATCTGTTAACAGTGGGTGCTGGAAGGTAAAGGAATTGTTAAATGAGCCATTTGAGGCAGAATTGATGGCTTAAAAATAATAGAAACATCAAAACACAGGAAGGAACAGTATTACTTTATTTTTATGACAAACACTTATCTGTAATGGTATATACTGTGCACGTCATTAAATCCTTATCTCAAATGTAAGTAATTATTACATGTTGTTGGTCCTGTCAGAGGTCAGAGGTCACTGCTACAGTGAATTTCTATCTGGTGCTGATTTCCAGTGTTGGCAATAATGACTTGTTTGTATGTCTATTTGCACATTCAGTGACTTTATTATTAAATGATATACAAAGTACAATAGCTATGATTATACTGTTCAGTTTTGTTTGACAATTACGTTATTATAATGCAGCTCAGCACAACACCGCCCTTAACTATTACATCTGAGCTAAATGTGTAATTTAATTAATAGCTCAATGACATGTTGACAAAACTGAGACACATAAAAGTAGAACATACAGCAGAGCAGTTCTATTGAGGCTGTACAGGTGTAAGTGGACACAGACTTAGTTGAAGTGAAGCACTCTAAGTTCAGTTCTGAACGCAACCAAATCCGTCCTCGATGTGTCCTGAGATCCCATCACTCAGACCACATATGGAGGTCATCTGGGATGCATGTGGCTACATTCTTTTTACTGTGTGATCGAATATACGTCCTGAGCAACATATGATACCCCACAAATTCAGCTGACGTCTCTGAACCGCTACAGTTTCACAAGGAATCAGACCTATTATACGCTTGAATACATTGATGTGTTCGTGGCCACTGTCGTAATATGAACACTACTCACCTCATAGTAATTGATACTTTTCTTAAATTCATTTAGTCACACCTGACTCAACTGGCTATCTTTCATGGAGGAAAGTTAAACAACATCATGGTTAACTTGGTCCCATATAACCCACTGTCTCTGGTTTCTCTCCTCTCAGTGCCCAGCAGGATGCAGTGTTTGAAATGGTCTCCATGGCCTTCAATGTAGCCGTCTGGTACACCAAGTTTGCCTCACGACTAGCAGGCAAAGAAAAGTATGTGGACATTTTGTTTATATTCTTGCATTCATTTTTACGAAATCAGTAATATTCTAGTTAACAAATCAAAGATTTAGAAATGTTTCATTGGTTTGTTCCTACACCATACATTTTTACTGTCATGTTTGTGTCTATCTTATAGCATAACAGAGCCTGAGGCAAAAGACGTTCACCGGAGCCTGAAGGTTTCTGCTGGAATATTCAAAAACCTCAAGGTGAGTCTCATTTACACACAAGTCTTCATCCTAAATTATGGCAGAGCTGGTAAGCACTTTTTTCTGGTGGGGTCCTCACAGTACATTTTTATTTTAACTCAGCTCGTGACCACAATAATCACATTTTACCATTTTGCAAAGAACGTATTGGTCTCAGATGTAAAAACTTCGAACAATGGGATTTTGCCAAACACCCTGAAACCACAGCACACCCTTTTCCTTTTCCGTGCATCACACATGCCTTAGTCAGACTTAAACACTTCCTCAACTACAAAGCAAAAGAAACTGATGCAGTGGTTCATGATGATTTAAAAAATTCAAAGGTTTGGGTGTCTGTGTGTGTGTTTTTAAATCACAAACTCATTATCTGGCACGCTTCCTACAGGAGGTTCACATCCCTCGTCTCATCACCCCGGCTGAAAAGGGCAGAGACCTGGAGCCCAGAGTGATCGATGCATACATCATCCAGTGCCAAGCAGAAGCACAAGAAGGTACAGCATAGCTACAACTCTTTTTTTTTCTGCCTCCATGAACAGACAGAACACAGACTTTTTGGGACGTCTAAAAAAAGGCTTTATTGTCTTAGCTTGTCTTGTCTTAGCTGCACATGACTTGACTCCAGAGGTGTATTTTTCTTTTCTTTCTCTTGCTGTGTAACCAACCATGGTGAGCTGGGATGGTAAACTGAGCCCTGTCATGACATTGTGATATCTCCATCTTTTTTCTGTATGATTTGCATTGAATATGAATTGCATTTGTTTGTCAGATTTTGTGTGTGAATGGTTAGTAGATCTTTGTTGTTAGTTGTCTTTTGCCATTGTATCGCATATATGTTACATGTTATATGCGTATATATAAGATGATATATATGAAATAACAGGAGGCGAAAGAACAAAAATAACTATAATGATTTTTCTTAAATCTGCCAGTGTAATGTGTTATTTAGAAACACACCTTTTGCTTAATAAATCAATAGATATAAATGAAAAGGGTTTCAGATCAGGTCTTATGTTTATAGAAAATAAGAGGGAGGGGTCTTACCAGACCAACCTCAAAGTCTGACTGCAGATATAAATGGGTCTGGTTAATATAAATATTATCTATTGTTATTCTTCATTTTGTTCATCATATTTTAGTTCCTTTATCATAGCCTCTTTTTTCCTACAGTGACAATTGCCAGGGCGATTGAATTGAAGCACAACGCCAGTCTCATCGCAGCGCTGGCATTTGAAACGGCAAACTTCTATCAGAAAGCCGGTCAGTATTTTTCTGCATCTGGTGGAGAAAACACATATCAAAGCATTTCAGCACCCATTAAAATGTTAACGATTGATTTTCCATCTTGTACTCATTCGTTCGTATGAAATATGAAATGTGTACCTGGTTAGTTATCTAGACCAGGGTATAAAAGGTGCATTTTCCTTTTTGTAGACCACACACTGAACACATTGGCACCAGAGTGCAGCAGCAAGTGGAGGAAGTATTTTCAGCTGAAGTGGCACTTCTACATGGCTTATGTGAGTTCAGGCGTATCCTGACGTTCACTGTGGATTTTAAAACCAAACTACCAGCATGTCTTTAAACTTATATTTACCTATCTTTCATTGTGTTTGCAGGCATACTGCTATCATGGACAGACACTGCTGGCAAGTGACAAGTGTGGTGAGGCCATAAGATCCCTCCAGGAAGCGGAAAAGTGTACGTTTGTATTGAGCTGGCTCATAATCATCCAGTTGCACATGGAGTAGGTCATGACACAGGTGCTTCCTGTGTGTGTTTCCTGTGTTGCTGCTGTATTTTTCGGCACATGTCATCATGTAGTGAATAGCTGTGGATTGTTGATCACCTCCCCTGACAAAGTAGCCAAACATTTTTTTTTTGTATTAACACAAGGACGTCTCTGTTTAGGTTACTCCCGTGCTGAGGCGCTGTGTAAAGAGTATCGTCAGACCAAAGGCCCGGGCACCACAGCCAAACCATCAGAGCAACTGTTCTTCCTCAAACTGGGTGGCCTCATTAAAATCACACTGGAGAAGTGCCAGAGGGAAAATGGATTCATGTGAGTCAGTCATGGTAGACACAATGCACACATGCATGCATGCTGACACAGATAATGCATGTGTCGTTGGTCTTTGATGTGACCCTAACCCTTTGAAGTGACAAACATTGTCATATTTCAGTGGAAGCGTGTATGTATTTAAACAGTTAGGATATGGTTTTCATCTTGAATGGTAAATTATCATACAATACATCTTATTTATCACATTTTCATTAAGGTAGAGTGGACTCACATAACCATGACTTTGTTAACACAAACACAAATAAACATCTCAATGAATCCGTTACTGAGACACATCTGTAGGATTCTAAGTCATCTAGGTCATGATGACTTCAGACGTTGTGCAAGTGTACGTGGGGAACTTCACTTCTCTTCCAAGGGGCTTCATTAGTTCTAATTGACTAATGGGAGGTTTCAGGTATTCAGCCTCTGTCGTTCTGTACCTGTGTTGAGAGTAACTTTCTTGGTTGATGGTTTCCTTCACTCCTCATCTGTCTTCTCTGGCTAAAATGCTAATATATTACCATCCTCAAAAGAGAGTTTCTTAGACAGTAACATGATTTATTTTGTTTATTAAAGTATATTAACTTATCAGAAAACCTTTACTGATGAGTGTCAGCTAATCACACTGTCCATAGTTAAGTAACAGTTGCCAATAGTATCTCTTTGCAGTTTAAGCAGCTGCTTAGTCTTCCCTGGTTATATTACATTTGGCTGGTAAATAATATCTTTCTATTAAGTCGTCCACCTTTAAATTGTAACTCTAACATATTCCCCTCAGATACTTCCATAAGGTCCCAGTTGAGCCCCCCCTGCTGGAGCTGAAGGCGAGTTACGGCCTGGCTGAGCCAGTCACATTCGAGCTGCCGCCTCTCAGCGAGCTGTGCACTCCTGAGGTTTACGCCACCTTCGACCTGACTAAAGGAGCCAAAAATGGAAAGGTACTGCTGCCGGCAGCACTCACAATCTCCAAAACAATAACACTCCAACGAGAAGCAAACAGGGGTGGGATTCATTTTATAATCTGATTCTGAGCTCTGTTGTTTATTCTAACTTTAGGCAAAACCCAAGGAGGAGGAGGTGAAACCAGTGAAGGAGCCAGATTTGAAGCCTCAGACGGACACAGGCTGTGTCGTCTCCTAAACCCCCCACGCACTTCATTTCCAGCCTCATGCTTCATCTCCATCGACTGTACTGATGGCATCTATATTTCCTTCCAAGTATTCATCCATAGGAAATGTATTTTTTAATTAATCCATGACGTTTTACATTTATGCTAAGACACGTGTATTGTATGTGGGTATGACGGCCGTTGTTGTTGCATTTAAGCCAGAGCCAGTTAAACATCATCGCTCATATGTTTGGCGTTTAATTCAAACTGAATTTCTATGAAGTAAACCTGAAACACAAACAAACAGACAGGTCTTTCAGGCTGGGGTGAGTGATTACATCTGAAATACTTTCTTTAAATTAGGTTCTGATAAAAAAAAAAAAAAAAGCCTTAATGGGCAATGCAGTTCTAGTAATGGTGCCTTTGGCTGCATTAACCTGTTCACTGTTTCCTCTTATTAGTGTCTGGGTGTTAAACTCTTAACCACTGCATTGCGCTGGCCCGATGATAGACAATTAAAAAAAATGCACATCGGTCAATTAAACATTATAGATGGCTATATAATGACTATAGATCCAAAGGTTTTAAAACTGAATATTTAGCACTACATAAACTATCATGAAACAATCTGCTAAGACTCAATGTAGGATTTGGATTCACACAACCACCCTGCAAACTAAAATTCTTTTCAGATGACTAGAATACATTCTATTCAGAACACACACACAAAATGAACAAAACTGCATGTGTAGTTTGTTTTAGCTGTAGCAGTTTACAATCACAACTTTTAATTTAGATCACATGACGTATGTACTGTAGTTCTTTTTTTGTACATTAGATTTACATAGCTGTTTTCTGCTTTGACTTTTCATTTAAAGAAGCTTCATTGCCACTTATATTTGAATCCTTATTAATGGTGTCCTGTCAGGGAAATTATGCCCTATAGGTCTTTAATTTATTTCTATTGTTATGTAATGATAGTTAAGTTGACCACATAACCCACTTAACGACAGTATACAGTTCTGTGTAATTTGAATCATATGTTTATTGTGATTGATTTGGGTTAAATGATATTCATTGTTTCAGTGGATACATCAGAATAGTCCCTGACGTATACAATGCTCACTCCTGTAAACCTGTCAGCCGCTGTAGTCAGTAGCTGACACAGAGTACCTGTATCTGCTGAGTGTCATTATTTTCCTTTGAGGGCAAAATTTCACACATACACAAACTCAAAGCGAGTATCGCGGGTCAAGAGTTCAGCAGAGTTGAGCTCCACGCAAAACCACGCTGCAATTTGACTCGCCACAGGAAGTGAATGCATTCGCCTCCTCACTTGCACAGATTGAGGCGAAGGTTTGCCACTGATATATTTGCGAATGTGTGACCGGGCCTCTATGGTACACACACACACTGGAGCTTGAGGATCACATGGACATTAGTGTCTGAGATTATTTTCTGTGCTGGTTCAGGAGCAGTACAGCAGCTTCTTCTGATGTCAGAAAACTCTTCCAATTAGCATGGCCGCATCAGATGAAACAAAATTATCAACTGTAAATATATTAATTAAAAACAGTCCACACATGCTCCTCCATTTCCCGACTTGTGTATTAACTGACCTGAGCTAGACTGCTACTGAAAAGGTAGTCAAGCATCTCACTAAATTTCCTATTTGCACATTGTTATAAGTTGTGAAGGGACATCTATTGGTTAAGACACGTTTCTCCTTGTGGTTTGGTTTGGTTTTAATGGCCATGTTGGACTTAAACATTGATCAGTGTGTTTAACTGAGAAGCATAAATCTGAGCTGAGGTGTTCATTAACAAAGAGTGTGTGGAATCATCATTACAGTGTAATACTCCTGTAGCCCTCTGAAGGTGTCTTTCATGTCAAATATATTCCAGATGGTAGTAATTCATTCATTGAACCCCAGTCCTCTGTGTCGGCTGTTTGTTTACAACATGTTATTCAGTTGTGTCAGTTTAAGATACACTGGAGCATTATCCTGTCTGTTATTATGCAGAATGAGCTCCACACAGTTAACAATGGTCAGATTAGATTAGGTGAGAATAACTTAAGTTTGTAGAAACACTCAGGAGAAGCTTAGTCAATCGACAGCCCCAGTGATGTCATCAGGCTTATCTCAGCTTGATTGAGGATCTTACACATGTGTAACAAGGAGCTTATATTGTTTGATCACATCCAGACCAGGGCCGGCTCTCTACACCTTGCAGCCCTCAGCAGGATACAGGATAAGTTTAGAGCACTGCCTAAATCATTATAATTCAATCATACATAAGATCAATTTCTTTAAACAATATTCATTAAAATAATGTTTGTCCTTCAGTCACATGTAGATTATAAACTAAGATTATATTACAATATATTTACATTAATTGACATTTTTATTTTCTCTGTCAAACCTGGGAAATGTTCACTCACTTAGGGAGGCTGCCATGTATTAATGCCATTGTTTCCAGTTTGTTGATCCTTGTTAGCGCCCCCTGGTGGCTGCAGAGCCCTTAGCAGCTGCTTAGTTGTCTCATAGGAAGGGCTGGCTCGTGTGTGTGTGTGTGTGTGTGTGTGAGAGAGAGAGAGAGAGTGTGAGTGAGTGTGAGTGAATTTATCTAACCTAGTAGTCCACCTTACCACTTATATCCAGTAAAACATACATACCCCACTGTAGTTACATGTTCCACATTAAGTTAAATATTTCTCACAATCCTCACAGTACAGTGTTATATTTTAACATTCCAGTTCTCCTAACCTATCTGCCTTCATATCTATCCAACCACATGAACATTTCATATATATATATAAAGCATATAAAGAGAAGTTACTGCCTGAAATGGATGGGCTACACTTTGCTACACTTTCTGGTGCAGTTTAAATAAATCTTAAATTCTTTTAAAAGTTACATGGCACCAAATGTGTTTGAGTTTTAAGGAAACATCCAAGGTTAATATATAGTAAAATTGGCAATAACCCTTGACTACTGAAAGTCCTGCCCCTTTAGGTCATGAAGGAAACTGATTGCTTTACAGTGGCAGCTCTGTGAGATAAGGTTTGCACTGTTGTATTTAGCTTCTCGGGTTTCACGGAATCCTGTATCCTGTCGTTTGTTTTTCTCCGTGTAGCAGAGTCAGGTTAGATGGACACACAAAGGTGCAAAGAGGACATGCATGAAAGAGTCCACACATTTGCAGCGGGACGATAGAGAAAGAATGATCATATCTGAAGAATGAACAGCCTCCAGCAGGAAGTAAGTGTTGTAACAATGGAGCAAGACAAACAGAGATGTTAGCTTATGTGTTCAGTGAAGCTGTAGCAGAGGTGCAAGTGTTGGCTCTCAGGAGCTGTTTGTGACCAGCCACAGGTAAATCTGCACTCTTAGATGATCTAGTCAGTTTATATAGCAGCATACAAAATGATAACATGCTCTGCATAAAAATATCAAATGCATCAGGGAACAGATACAAGTTTGGTCCTGTCCGATCCGTCAGGTGACATCCACCCAGGAAACAGAGTTTTCCGGTTCAACCCCGAACACAGAGAAGAAGATCATCCACTTCTCCAGCGGTGAAACCCTGGAGGAGGAAGACAGTGAGGAGGAAGAGGAGCAGCCCTCAAACAGGCCTCAGAGAGAGCCCACAGAGAGGGTGAGAGACGGTTCCAGGCTACGTCCTTTTAAAAATAAAAGACCATCTCTGTCCAGACCGGTGTTGTGACCTGTAAAGTACACTGGGCATGTGTTATGTCAACAGGGAGTAGATTGTTTACTCTCTTAGATGGTTGCTTATATGAGGGGTTGGTTTCTAAAACACTTAATGTTATTTGTTGAAATTCTCTTTACATCCCAAGAGCCATCAATAATCAGACAGCCACTGTCTGTGGCCCTCACAGGAGTGTAATAAACACAGTCATCTGGTCCAGGATTACCAACCCCAGCTTTAAACGTTACGTCACGCACTGCTGGAGAATCGTTGCAGATATTCTTCTTGCTAATGTCAAATGCACCACAAGATATTAAAATATTGGCACATCACACGCTACAGGAAATGATTAAGATATGATGCACCACCTCACGGCACCTGTTCGATCTCATGAGGAAGAAGGTGCAAACAAAACAAACAGGATGGAGATGTGGTGTAGTGCAACAACCTGCTCTGTCAGTAATAAACAAATGCAGAGGAAGCAGTCTTGATTAGACAAAGTCAGGGAGGCCTATTTTCCAGAGTGAAGTGAGGCGACGTTATCTTTTTATTACTGTTATATATCGACAAGCCTCTCCTCAACTCAGCTGTCCACTTATTGCACAGTAGTTTGTTTAGCGGCCGCCATTTCTAAAGCTGGACTTGTCCCTCTCATCTTATTTTGGACAGATGGTGAGGTAAAACTGTTACTGACAGTAAGTGCTGTCACGGTTTCTTCTCATTCATACTAAAACACAACCCTGGAAACTGAACTAAAACACGTTTTTAAAGTTCTCCAGAATAGTATGAACACCAGGCAAAGCATCAGTGACATATTTTCAAACTAAAACATGTTTGCGTGGAAGTATCTAAAGGGAGAATACCTGCTAAGCATCATTCACCTCATGTCTGTTGTTTTTTTCTGTGTCCTCTATCTCAGAATCGCTTCTCATTCAAGAATGTGGCCGTTCTAGTTGGGAGGATTTCACTGCTGAGTATGTAGCATGACAATTACATTTACTCAAAGTGCACTGAATAAACACTGGGATGGATTTTAGTTCTGTAAGAAAATCTCATTGAGTTTCGATATATTTTTGTTTCCAAAGCTTGTGATTTCCTTGGAGAGCGACTTGCCGGTGCACTTGGACTGAATGCAGCCAAATACCAGTATGCTATAGATCAATATCAGCGTGATCACAAGGTAAAGTCAAATTCAAAACAGCGATAAAACAAGACATTGGCCAATATGAGCCTCACAGATGTATTGGTATCAGCATTAATGTGTGCAGATATGAAAACCTAAAGGTCTAGTGTATAAGATTTAGGTGAATGGGATCTGGGATTGAATATAAAATAATCCTAATAATGTGTTCACTTGTGTGTTTCTGAGAATGAGCGCTTTATATTCAAATACTTTATACTTCAGTCCAGAGCAGGTCCTCTCTATGGAGGCTGCCATGTTTTTTACATTAGTCCAGACTGGACAAACTTAACCTTTTGAGTTTTTATGACAACTGAAGTCATGCAACTGCATTTATGTTTACATTTTTCATGTAATTTGTCTTATTATTGTAATTATTATTATTTCCAGTTCTATATATTTGGTTGCATTTGTAATTTAAAGTCTATAGTTAAACTGTAAAATATCAGGCCTCAATTATATTATATTCATATGGGTTTGATAACAACATCTTAGGAATCATTGTCATTTTTTCAAATATATATGAATTTGTGTGTATGCATGCTGATATCGGTGTGGGAAATCTTTTCAGCAACATTACCAACAACTTTATTATTATTATCATTATTCTCAATAATAATAGTAATAATACACATCAGCTACATATCGACCAAGCTCTAAGCTGTATTGTCAATAGGCAAAATATAAAGCATATGTGTATTGTGGAGACTTCTTGTGAAATAAAAGTGTGACATGTCAGGGCAGAAAACAGGATGCATCTGCAGTTAACAGTTAATTTGTAGGAACATGACTGGATAGTTTCTTGTGTTTGACTCTATTTCCTCTGTCTCGCTCAGAAACCGAGCAGCCAGGCCTCAGGCGGCCTCATGGAGGGACAGGGGGAGATGATCCACCTCTCTCCTCCACTGGATGGGAGTCATTACGGAGCTACGGGAGACGCAGGAAGGCCGGCTGATGTCCAGGGGAGCTGTGACGAGAAACGCATGAGCAGGAAAGATGGATACCACAACAGAAGCTATCAGGCAGATGAGGATCATTTGAAGTAAAAGAAAGAGAAGCACAGAAGCATTGAGAGTTGTTAAAGGATGGTGGGACTGTTTGTGTAGTAAGGTAATGTTACAACAAGAGAACGTGAAGGATAAAAACACTGACACAGTGAAGATTTCAGTGTCTGGCTATCCGTGTAAATTAATAATTATTCCCAAGATGAATTGAGTTCTCATTCATGAATATAAAATGCTGCCCTGTCAAAGAGAAATGACTGGATAATAGAATTTATATAGTAAAACTAGTTTTACTCCAACATCCACAAAAACAGCCTGCATGGTCATTAGAGTTTATTTATTCAGCACATTTTAAAGCAACAAGCCAAAGTGCTTGACAATAAATGAAGACACAAGGTAAAATACAAATAAAGAATAAAATAAAGACCAGCATAAAATAAACTAGGGGTTAAATAAACCTCAGAGAACATGAGAGTCTTGGGTCTTAAATATGTCGGCGGAGCAGAAGTTCAACATGAAAGGTTGACTGTTTCACTATGGAGGGCAAGAAATGACTTGAGTATAAATAAATAAATGAATAAATGTGGAAATAAATAAATACATGCATAAATAAATGTCTTAATTTAATTTCCAGCTGTGACCAGAGGGAAAGAGGAAAGCGTGGGGCACACGCACAGACACACATGAATAAATTAATCAATAAATTAATAGATGGATAAATAAATAAATGTATTCATTTTATTTCCACATTTATTTATTGCTGTATTTCTGTGTCGTATGCAAATGAGTAAGGGCGGTCCTAACTTCAGTCTTGAGCAGGATTGGTCAATTGAGCAATCCAGACAGAAGCAATCTGTTCCAGAGCGAATCTTCTGTGTGTGCCTGTGCCTGTGCGAGTTCAACGTTTGACTCCTCCTTTTCGGGCGCCATCTGGTGGCGGAGACCATGCAGCACATTCTCAGAGAGCAATGCAGCTCCTATGGCCAGAGTTTCCTAAAATAAGGAAACAATTATACAGTAGGTTTCTATACAGAGGTGTATGTTTTTGTTTCTGTTCTGGAGAAAAGCTTTGTTTTAAATATAAGCAGAATGGATAAAATTATGCACAGGAAGAAAGAAGATCTATCATCCATCTAATATATATAATTATAATTGTTTCATATATATAATTGTTTCCCTATTTTAGGCAACTCTGGCCATAGGTGCTGCATTGCTGTTTGGGAATGTGCTGCACGGTCTCCGCCACCAGATGGCGCCCGAAGATGCGTCAAAAGTTGAGCTGTGCTTCTCGTGCACACATATTCTTCTTCTGCGGTTCAATGTGGGCACAAGTGAGCCTCGGCCTGATCTGCGGTCTGCAGTCAGAGGTACATGATCCGACACGATGGATTAACAACTGAACACACGATCGTAGGTTTGTTTCTGGATCATCTCAATAAAAACAACTCTGAACTCTGTGAACTGACTCAACACTGCAGACAGCAGCTAGTGCACAACAGTCAGCACCGACAGGCAGAAGTAGTAGAACTGGATCATCACACTCCTGTGACCGATCCTGCACGAGACTGAGGTCAGGACCGCCCTCTCTCATTAGCATATGACACAAAAAATACAGAAAAAAATAAATGTGGATATAAAATTAAGACATTGATTTATCTCTTTCCGCATTTATTTATGCATGTATTTATTTATTTCCACATTTATTTATTTATACTTGAGTCATTTCTCGCCCTCCATATTCCACAGCTTTGGGGCGGATACAGAAGATAGTAGTATGACGTCTTTAATATAAAATATGAACGTCACAGCGTGAAAACAATAAATAAGTTCGACGAGGATGGGATTCGAACCCACGCGTGCAGAGCACAATGGATTAGCAGTCCATCGCCTTAACCACTCGGCCACCTCGTCTGGTAGACCCACAGCCAGAAATGTGGGGTATTGAACGGTTCACGTTTAATGACACGTGAGCTGTGGTTCACTATAGTCGACATTCAGCAAACAGCTGATCTCATGATAACCGTCATCTTCTTTGAGATCAACGCACTTCGCCTAATCTTAGCATGTGAAAAGTTGTCATCTGTCATCGGTCATGTGATCCGTGGGATGTGAAAACCTGAAAAACCCACTCACGCCACCTGCAGCTGGAAAAATGAAGCGCGACCAGTTTGGGTGTTTACGGTGAAGGTGCCTGGAGCGCGAGGTCGGGTATACAGTTTCCATGGAGGCCCAGAAATGAGTGCAGCGTTGAGTCAGTTCACAGAGTTCAGAGTTATTTTTATTGAGATGATTTAGAAACAAACTTATTATCATGTGTTCGGTTGTTAATCGATGGTGTCGGATCATGTCTGCGTGTCGTTCCGGTCATTTTATCACTGAGTCATGACTGTGAGCGTCTCGTCTCATGTTGGACCGAGCACAAAATGATGACGAGTCATTTTTCATGATGTTTAATTGAGTCTCATAAACTCTGGAATCAAACAGACACTGAGTTACTTCATGTAYTGATCAGGTCCTGATAACTAGTGATGAGAGTTTATTAGTTTCAGTGAGAGCAGCTCAGGTGATCTAGATTGAAGTTGTTAAATCTCAGATGTTAATAAACTGAATTGATTAAATTAGATATTTGGTGCACTACAAATAGAATGTGCATTAATCTCATATACTTAAAAGACTATTATTCTCAGATCTCTATATTTTAGAAGTCTCGCCAGGTCAAATTTCCATCACACTGTACAACCACTGGAACTAAACTGCACCCATCATGGGCTGCACTTTAACTCTGTAACTATTTATTTTCTTATTTGTTACACTGTATATACACTGCTCCAAAAAATTAAAGGAACACTTAATCATGACAGTAAAATAGCAAGTCAGTGAACTTCAGGGATATCGATCATCATTGAGGAAGCACAAGTGATTTTGAATCAATTTCACCTGCTTTGGTGTCAAATGAAAGTGACAACAGCATCATTTACACCATGTTTTCGGCCTAAACGTCTGCTCCAAGGAGTAGAAATGAAAGTTGAAATCTTGACAAAATTTATGGGACAATTGACACAATATTTATTATAGCAATCATCACCTGCTCATAAAAAAATATTATTAGGGCCGAATAAAAAAAAGTGTCCAACAGTTTCAGGGTTGTAGCTTAAAGGTACAATGTGCAGAGGTTTGTGATATCTAATGTTGAAATTGTGTGTTGCAGTTGAACACTCCTCACCCTCTCCTTCCAAACAAGAATCTGTGGCAGACTTCAGCTGTCATAAAAACTCAAAAGGTAATGTTAAAAACCTGGCGTTCTCCGTAGAGAGGACCCCCTCGATGTAAATATAAAGTATTTAAATATAAAGAGCCTTTTCTGGGGTAAAGAAAACTACAATTCATACAATTTAGATGAAACAAACTAGTGAAAACATCATGAGGATTATTCTACATTAAATTTCTGCCAATAGATCCCTTTCACCTAAATCTTACACACTGGACCTTTAAGCATGCATGTATAAATGTCACCACAGAAAGGAAAGACACCTTGACATGCCATCAGTGCAGATTCTCAACATCATCAATGTCAATCACTTCAGATTTTCCCAAGTTTTTTTTCAGTGTTTGCTATTTTTAATGGGAGTGAATGCTGAATAAAGAGATATGTACAGCAAAAACAGCTCATGAGAATATTGATTCATATTCATATATCCAAAAGGTGAATCCACAACCATAAGTGGTTCATGCATGAAGACTGCCTCACCTGTTTGCATATGTGTGCATCTCATCTAAGTGTGTCAGTGGAGTCAATGTAAAATCAAGGATTTAACCATTGGTGCAGGGGAGGAAGCTACCGAAGCAACATCTAGTGTTTGAATTGGATCATTGAAATGACTGAATCTTGAGTGTCACTCACTAGAAGCGTGATTTTCACTGAATCCACCCCAGCCTGACTGCATAGCTTTGTAATGAGACATTGAAAGAAAATCAAGAACTCATCAATGAGAAAAGTTCAGGCATCTTCTCGTCTCAATTCTGATCCAAATCTGACACAGACTGTGACATTAGAAGTGAACGCTCCCATTGTTGTATCAATGATAAGCTGGCAGGACATCTTCCGAATCAATGTTTTTTATCTGATGTCACAACAAAATCAGTTATTAGCCGATAACAGACGCAGATAGTGTAACAAAAGTGCAGGTGCATGTGTACTAATTCCCTTCACTCACTAACAAGTCAAAGTCCCTCAGTTACTCTTTATGACTGACATAAACTTCATTGGGGGCAAAACGTCATATTCCTTGTCGATGTGCACATTTAAACCAAAGCAGCAACATCTGCTTTGTGACATTCAGCAGGATGATGGACAGAGTGCTGTTATGGTCTGGACTGGTGGCTCTGGCCACTTCACATGCTGTAAGTTTTTATTTATCAATTATTTATAGTGAGTGTAATGTTGTCACTAATTTGGCTATAACTTACACTTTATTATCATTTGTTTTTTTGTTTTTTTTTGCAGATACCAATTTCCCCTAAGGTACATGGTATGTACATTAATGATATTTAATACAAGAAATAAAAGTTGTTGAACAGTAAAAAGTTGTTCAGAGTTCCGTGAGTAGACTGAACCATGTCTGTGTTTGTATTTACAGAGGTATATGAGAATGGTGAGGATGAGAACCCCATCTTAAACCTGGGTGAGCAACAACACATCACAGTTGGACCATCACCCACACATCAGTAAAGACCAGGAATAATATGTCAAATAAACTGTGACAATATTTCAATAAAATGTGTCGTTTGTAGCTGTGAAGTGCTTTGAGTGGTCATCACGACTAGAAAAGTGCTTTATAAATACAAATCATTTACCAAACCATTTACCTCTGCTGTAGGTTCGGATGCTAACCTCTTTGAAGGCGACATTTTACTCCCGGTGAGTTGAATGTTTTCCTAATTTAAACATGATTTAGGGAAATTGCTGATAACTGCTTATCATTCCTTGAGTGCTATACCGTTGGTGTATGTTATCACATGCTTGGCTGTTGGGACAGTTGGCCCTTTGGCTCTTAAGTAATTAAAATGCAATATCAGATAACAAACAGTACATCTGAGAGGCCGTGTGTTGGTTTTTATGATTAGTCTCCATTAAGTTTATGATCATACTATATTTT